CCTTGGCGAGTGGCTATATCAAGACATTGTCTGTCGCTGGGGTACGCTTGTCGAACTAGTCTCCGACAACGGCGGACCCTGGGTCAAGGCGCTCGAGTACCTCTCGAAGAAGTATCACATCAACCATATCAGGATCAGTGGTTACAACTCGCGAGCAACGGTATCGTCGAACGTTCGCACTTCGACATGAGACAAGCGTTGTTTAAGCAGCAGATGGAGATCAGTCACGCTGGTCACAAGTCTTCCATTCAGTACTGTGGTCCGAACGCGTAACGACTCGTCGAAGAATGGGCTGTTCGCCGCACTTCGCAGCTACAGGCACGCACCCGATACTGCCCTCGACGTTATCGAAGCAACGTACCTTGTCCCACCGCCTGAGACAGCACTCGATACTACCGACTTGATTGCGCGGCGAGCCATAGCACTTCAGAAACGGTCGGAGGACCTTTCGAAGATCTATTCGAAGGTCTACGAAGCGAGGCGTGAGGCGGCCCGACGCTTCGAACGAGAGCACCAGTACACGATCGAAGACTTTGACTTCCAGCGTGGGGACTTAGTCCTCGTCCGAAATACAGCGATCGAAAAAGCCTTGAATCGTAAGATGCGTCCACGATACCAAGGGCCTATGGTCGTCGTATCTCGGAACCGAGGAGGTGCCTACATCATCGCTGAACTAGACGGCACGGTCCTCGACAGACCTATCGCCGCTTTTCGAGTCATTCCCTACCTTGCTCGAAGATCGATCACGATTTCACTCGAACACCTGGATGTACCCTTCGAACGCTTGCGTGAAATGGAACAGTCAGACACACTGGGCGATGACGAGCCAGACGCGTCCGGCTTACCCGGCGAACTAGACGATGAATCGTCAAGTTCAGAAGACGAAGAATGAGTCTGTCGAGAGACTCGCGCAGTATACCCTTTATGCTTTAAGGACACCCTCGTGCTTTTTCACTTCAATCCTTCGAACACCGTGGCAGCGGTTAGAAACGAGATATCTATTATACAAGACACGAGAGGGGGACGTTACACCAGCAGATATACAAGACTAACGCTTACGGGACGCCGAACGCAAACACGGAGGTACAAACACAACGGACGGTACTACGAATACGACCTACTTCGAACCCTTGCCCTTCGAAGGTCCCGCCGATGGGCCGGCAGCAGGAGGATCGAAGGCCCCACGCGCGACGGCCGTAGACTCGACGAACAATTGGTCGACGCGACGACCGTAGTACTCTTGCAGCCCTTCGAGCATTGCGAGTTCGAGGCCCATGAGGTTGAGCGAGGCCTCCACGTTGCCGATGCGTTCGTTGGTCGCCGAGAGTGCCGCGCGAGCCTCGGCGAGCGAGCGGACGGGGGCGCCCTGAGACTGGAGAATCGCCGATATGTCGATCGGCGGGGCCTGCGTCTGTGCGGCGTGCAGGGCCGCGGCGGCACGGGGGTGGAGGGGCGTGCGCGACGGTACGAAGCCTGCCGAGCCCGAGGCAGGGACCGTGACAGGAGCGGGCGCGGGGGCAGCGGGTTCCTCGGAGTCGCCCCGCTTACCTACGAAACGGAGATGTCAGCTACGAACGGCACCGAAATCTTCGAAGAACTAAGGCGAACTTACCGGCACGACGAGCCTTGCGAGTACCAGACAAAGTGGCGGCGCCCCAGTAGCAGCCCTGCTGGTCGTGCAGGCACTGGTTACACACCACCGCGTCGGCCTCGAAGACGCATTCCTTCGAGGTAGCGTAGCCGGCGGCGCAGCGATCGCACTGAGTCGCGAACAGTTAGCAGAATCAAACGAAGAAAAACGTTAGGGCACATACCGACATAGTCCGGTCACGGACTGTAGTCGCGCGAGCAATGAGCTTGCGGACGGCGGTGTCCGTAACGTCGGGGGCCGAGCCGTCAGCGGGGGCCTTGCGCTTTTTGGTCTTCTTCGAGCCTTTGGGCTCGGGGACCACCTCGACTTCGGGCGACTCGGCGCGAACGGTCGACGCATCGGAGGCGGTGGGGGACGGAGCACGCAATTTACCTTTTCCCCGGACACCCGACCGGCCACGTCGTGGCAAGGCCTTCTCCTCGCGACGCTGGCGATCAGCCTCGCGCTTGTGCGCCTCGGCGGCCTCCTCGAGCTCGGCGGCCTCGCGGCGTTCGAGTTCCTCGGCCTTGGCGGCCTCGCGTCGTGCGCTTTCCTCGGCCTCGGCGGCCTCCTGTCGCTCGCGGCTCTCGCGCTCTTCGGCCTCCTTGCGCAGCTGGGCTTGGTTCGCTTCCCAGCGACGGCGGTCCTCGGCCTCCTTGCGCGCGTGATTGATAGCGGCGTCGAGCAGTGGCCACTGCATGTTCTCGGCGCATTGGCGCGCGGCCTCCGGATTGGCGTGAGTGGCGAGGACGAGCAGCCGTCCCAACGCGTTCGCGTAACGGGCAGCGAGGGCCGCGCCCTTAGTCACGCGAGTGTACCGATTCTTCGAACACTTAAATTAACAAGACTTAAACGAGACGGACGCGACTTACCATGGCAGCGAAGGCGCCCTCAATCCACTCTTCGATCGCCTCAGGGTTCTCTGGGACGAGGTGCGCCACGACCCAATTGGCGAGCGGAGCCATTGGGCTCTTCGGGTCGTGCGGAACGGGGAAGCCGGTTTTGGGATCCACGGTGTAGTCGGCGTCCGACGCAGGCGCGCCGGCGAGATCAGGGACGGGCGCGGGAGCGGAGGCAGGCGAGGCGGACATGGAGAGACGGACGAAGTCAAGAGCGAGCGGAGCGGGGGATCAAGCGAAATTCGGCTGGAGACCCCGCCGCTATATGTGTGCTCGAGCTTTGTGGGTCCACCTACCGCATTCGAGGCGCTGAAACAACGGGGATCATCCCCATCAGAACCAGTCCAAAACGGGAAAGAAGCGCTCACCTCCCGTCCAATGGGATTAATTCTGCGGATCAACGTGATCGAGGCGTGCCCTGCCGTTCGCTAATCGCTTCTCGAGTGCTCGCCATTGGACAAGACCTTCGGACGGCCTGGCGCGGAAGCATCTCGATGATCGCGGACGCAAATCAAGCGCCGGCGTGTTCGAGCCGACCGAGGACGGTCTGGATCTCAGTAAGGGGGAGATGATGAGCCCTTAGCTCACCTACCCACCGAAAACGCCATTTACGGTCGATACAACGGTGCACTAAGTCAGAACGGTCGACGCACGGTCCGTCCGTTCGAGGGAAACGCCCGATGTTCGAAGCTCAAGCGTCCATGTTCGGGACCCTTAGTGGCAGAGACAAGCGGTTTAGAAGCGTCGCTACATTGGTAGGACTCCGGAGCAAGTACATGGCTACGTCAACCTAGCTAGTGACGACCCCTGCAATTCTCATATCTATGTCCTCGACCACCACACCCATGACCACCACCTCTACCCCTACGAACAGACGGACCGGCGTCGGAGCCACGGTCAGTGTTGACGCGCTCGAGCAGACTTTCGAGCAACCCGACGAGGGTGCCGTGCGTGCGGCGCTGGTCGACTGCGATGTTGTGAATCGCTCGACCCATGGACTCGAGGTTGTCGGGCAGCTGGCGAAAGTCGGACAGGATCAACGACTCGCGCTGATACTGCGGGTTCGCGAGGGGACGACGCTCGGCCTGGTTGACTTGTTCGAGCAGTACCAAGGTCTCGGACCACGCGATCGTAGGGTAGGGCGAACCTAGGATGTCTCCCTGGTTGCCATCGCGGTGAAAGACCTCGTCGAGGTAACGCATCAACTCGTCGATCTCGGGGAACGACCTAGGAGCAGGAAGCGTATCGTTCGCCAGCAGGATGGCCCGGCTGCGGGACTCGAACAAGAATCGCTGTTCGAAGGTCGGTTCGATGGTTCGAACGATAGTCTAAGTTCGGAGGCACGTACGATCATCCAACGGACTCCGTGAGCCCAAGCCAGCCACTCTCCGGGACTGTTTGCATCGTATCGCGGCTCGACAAGTCCCTCGGTCTTGAGGACCTCTAGGAGGCGGTAGTAGCGGGCAGCATACGCTTCGGAAGTTGGGTCGAGGTGCGGCATGTTCGTGTAAGTCAGGCGAACTCCTGCAGCTGTCTCATATCTTCGAGGACTGTCACCGGCCCCGGTTATGACCTTCGCCGTTCGGGGACGGTCGCCCGTTATGCGGAACCTGCGGAAGGCCGAGTTGGATTCTCTCATGTGTTAGTAGGTCCGGGTCGAGCGTTGTGACATTCTCCGATTGGCTGCTTTCCTTATCACTTTCATTCATCATGTCTTGTATTTCTCTTGGCTCTCTTGGTCTTCGGACCGTATTTTCCTGTATATACTCTGGGACTTGTTCCCTTCGAATCTCAGAGACCCCCTTACCCTCTCAATCTCACCCCGCACCGGCGAGGTTCGTCAGTCAGCCAGTACGTTCGAAGTCAGTCAGTCCGCCAGTCAGTCAGTACGTTCGAAGTCAGTCAGTCAGTTCGCCAGTACGTTCGCCAGCTCGTAGTTGCCCCGAGAGGCTCTACACTTCTTCTCCTGCCGTCGCTCGCCTTCCTTGTCACCGTTCGTTCGACACGTCTGTCGAAACTCCCCCTCCTACCTTCGAGGCTTAGCCCTCGTCTTCGAACAGTCTTCGACATCTTCGAAGCTCTCCCACGTCGTTCGGAGTCTTGTCCGTCCTCCTCCTTCTTACCTAGACCACTGTACAGTCCCCCGTACATCCCATAGACGCAGAGGCCTCGCATACCACTGCTCGACCTCACGGTTGGGTTTTTGTGTGGCTTTTGTGTCCTTTTCGGTCGCGTCAGCGCCGACTCGATCTTCGTGCGCTCATCTGCAAACGTCAGTTCACCTACTCGCTCGAACCGCCTGCCTGCTGACCCGCTAGCCTGCTGCGCCAATTGGCCTCTGTTCGCATGACTCGCATACCGGGTGCGACTGCCCTCGCCAATACGAAAGCCGTACTCATTGTGGCGGGCTAAGAGCTGCACCGCCGAACAATGCTGTACCGGTGCAGAGAACAATGTGATGCGCATTGCTAATGACTCGGCTACGCGTGCCTTATCCTCGTCAAGGTCCCCTATATATCTCGTCGCATACCTGTGTATGGCCGTCATCGTCTCCGAGGGAGTTCAAGACCAACAAGGTGAGTGGCACCCTCGTGTTAGTGTATATGTCACCTCTAGCTGATATATGTATCGTAGAGGATGCCGATCACTACTCAAACGAGGTGAGCATGAGACTTCTCTCATTATTCGATGGAAGTTGAGTGGCATCGTTGGTAGTCCCGAGTTGTCTGACGGAAGGAAACATGGTCGAGATGACGACAATCCTGCAAAGTATTACCAACGGTTTCCTACCAGCCAACCTGCACAAGTCGAGGAATCCCATTCTTGTCATGCCATCGAAGTGCCACCTGCGAAGCGTGCGCGCATTGAAGCATCCACTTCCAATCAACGGTGTGTCCGAGCCAGTGCTCCATGGTCATGCATGAGCACTGAGTGTGTATCAGGACCCAAGCGTGTCCACTCAGTCCGACGTTGACCTTCCATATGGAGGTTGACGAGATCCCCGACCTTTCATCCATATCCCTTGCCTCTCCAGACTCGATGACTGGACTTGCAGAGATTCCCCAAAGTGTTAGGGATGGCGAGGTAGGCTCATGTCACATGTGATGAGATAGCTGAACAGGCTAACATGAGCTTTGATTATTAGTCCCCCATGCCTCACAATCCATCCAGTAATGTCTCAGAGCCAGTTATACACTCTCAGCAAATTCTCAGATCAGAGGTATTACACTTTATGAGTTGTCAACACTCAACTGACTTTTGTCTACAAGGACATTGAGTATATCAAGTGTCAACTCTCATGCATGAGAGCAGACTTATATGAAATCATAGTAACACTAGCAGAAATTAGAGCACTTTTGGCTAGATGTGTGTCTGAAAGCAGGGGTCAGTACACCTCTCAATGATTGCTGTGTTGTACATAGTCATAGGGATAGCTAGCTGAGATGTGTTCTCATCCAAACATAGCCAATAGGTTTTGTGCTGGAGCTGACTAAGATGGGTTTGCATCTAAGTATGGGCAATAGGGCATTACCTGATAAAGATGAGTTGTCATCCCAATGTAGGCAATGGGTTTTGTACTGGAGCTGACTAAGATAGGTTTTCATCCAACTATAGGCAATATGTTTTGTTCTGGAGCTGACTAAGATGGGTTTTCATCCAACTATAGGTAATAGGTTTTGTACTATAGGCCATAGGTTTTGTGCTCCTTATGGCAATACCAGACAAAGATGAGTTGCCGTCCAACTGTAGACAATAGGTTTTGTACTGGGGCTGACTAAGATGGGTTTTCATCCAACTATAGGTTTCATCCAACAATAGGCAATGTGTAGGGGCTGAATATGGCAAGGTATGAGTTTTCACCCAACTATAGGCAATAGGTTTTGGGCTGCCTGTGCTGACTAAGATGAGTAGTTACAGAACTGATTCTTACCAGTTATGAGTACATGACTAGATTGACTATAGCATGTTCCTTACCACAGTCATTGAAACTAACTCTACTGCATTGATGAGCAGAGGGCTACATGGGGCATCCATGACCACATCAAAACTCATTTCAAACTTGTTCATTTGCAGAGATATATGTTACATGATGGCATATGCTGGTTTCATTGAGGGTTTATTCTTTATATGATCAATGATCACATACAAATCTTATCCTGAGCCAATCCATTATTTGGTGTCTATATTGCATGATGATACATGCTGAGATTGCTGAGATAATATGCTTTTTTCATTGGGGGGATATCCTTTATATGATCAATGATTATATACAGATTTCATTCTGAGCCAATCCATTATTAAATATCTGTATTGCATGATGATACATGCTGAGATTGCTGAGATAATATGCTTTTTTCATTGGGAGGATATCCTTTGAATGGTCAATGACCACATACAGATTTCATTCTGAACCAATTCTTTATTTGATCCCTATGTTGCATGATACTACATGCTGAGATTGTTGAAATGGTATTCTGATCACATTGGTATGTCATTGTGTTCTCATTTGTAAAGCTCTACCAATGTATTCCTGATGTAGCATCAGTGTGACAGTGGACAATATTGTGAAGCCTTTTAGAATGTAATCCCTATGTGTTCAAGATAATGCTAGGATATTACCCGTTGACTCATGCTGACCACATCGTGATCAATGTTTCAATGTTCTCAGCATATGATCAAGGAGTGGCAGGGTGGCACATCTGAGATTTATTGTGATTTAACAATGAATGCTGTTCCGGTTCGTTCGCAATGCTGCCAGCTACTGCATGAAGTGATTATTATTAATTTCATCTTAATGTATCGTCCTCTTTTATTGGTTGCATAGAATGACAAAGATCAGCGTAAAATCAACATTTCCCAGGGTGGATTATTGGGCCGTGCCCCCGGTGCTTAGACCTCGGCGCCTCCGTGTCAGTCCGTGTCCTACTCCCGCTGCCGGCGGGAATCGTAATCCCGTTCTAGTCGAGGAGGCAATGATGAGAAGTCCACCAAATTGTTGGTGTCATGACTGGAGGCTATTCAGTATGCTCTGTCATTGCCAACAAAGCTCGGCTGAAGAAGATGAACGACCTCCAGACGTGTCGTGGTTCGTTGAATGTGCTTATACGAAGAGAGCGATCATAGGGCGACTACCGTTAGTCAAACACTTCGTCATGCTGTCCAGATTCTGCAGTGTTTTCCCCGGCGACTATGTGTGCCTCCGCATGCTGCGTCTCAGGCGCTGCTGACTATACCGAAATGACACTCACCTCGGGTGCGTATGTGAGATTGAATGGGACCTGCATGTCCGCCGATGAGTGCTACATCTGCAAAGCCATGTAATTGCAAATACAAAAGCACGTCTCGACGCGCGCCTGAACCAAAACGGACAGGAATCCGTGCCTCTCATTGGCTGAGGAGTGGATAAGCGGGCATTTTTGATTTCGCGTAGAGGCCCGTAAGCGAGCCTCCAGAAAGCTGCTCAGAGGCTCCTGTGGCAGCCATTGGGCGCTTCGAATTCGCCGATGTAGACCCGGCGCGATGCACTCTTCGCATTGGAGATGGGTCACAGTGAATCCCTGGCGCGTCTGCGCGTTTCAACCTCGCCAAGTGCCACCCAAAGGAGTGAAACAGGTCCATGCTGCCGTGGATCGCTGCAAACATGTGCATCGATGCTTACTGCGTCCACAGCGCTCGCGGTGACGCCGTTGCTACAACGGTCCGCGCGCGCCGCGGGCTTTGAGGCAATGAAGCCGTGAACATTCGCCCTGGGCTGACAACGAAATGCAGGTTAGCTAAAGAGTAAGCTATGCTTATTGGACGGACCCGAAAATGGTAGATGCGCCGAGGATGATTGCGCCGCATGAAGCTGAGCCTGACAGACACCGTCATGATTCGTTGACAGTGGTGACACGTGACCGTCGACTGGGCAGAACTGGCAATGGCATGGACAACTGGACGACAATTCGGACGAGCGAGCACGAAGGGGACGGAGAGCGCATCACGGCGACACTGAGCAGGCGAGGAGCGAGGAGCGCGAACATCGAGGCGGTTTCGACTCCGCGAGGAACAGGTCACGGGCGGCTGCTAACCCGCGTCGCGCCGCAATCGACGAGTCTCAGATCGCCCCTCTGCTGCGACCAGGCTGCATCACCTCCTGCAGGTTTGCTGGCGCGAAGACAATGCTGAGATGACCGCTTCTCTCAGCGTTTCGTATTGATTGGCCGCCAGTCGGATGGCTAGCTGCTGATATCGAAGACCTAGTCCTCCGACATCAAATCCGACTCGGACCTGCGACGAAATGACCACGGCGGCTGTGCAGCTCAAGTTACTCGAGTGTCTAGTGGGTTAGTCGATCCGACTCACTCGGAGAGCGGGAAGAGGTACGGCGTGCCGTCGCTGTCACGCCCACACTGGATTTCTGAATCGCCCGTGTCATGCCGTGACTGAAGCCAATCGAGCTGGGGAACAAGCCTTTCTGGACCTTCCGAGGTTGGGATGTCCTTCCGAAGGAGATTGCCACGGGCATTGCCCTGCGACCTCTCCCTGCCGCGGAACCAGTCCCAGAATCGGTGCGCCTGCTACGATCCGCGAGGTGCGCTCCTGCTCAATCTGGAAGTCCAATGACAGCTTCTCCGAGCGCCCGGGCTTTCGAATATATAGAGATCTACTCTATCTCTGGGCGCCATTCAACACCTCTGCAGACAGCGGCACGCAACCCGTCCTGCTCACGAACCATACGCGTCCTACTGCGCTGTGCTGTCTTCCATTATCTGCGTCGCGCGTAGGCATATTTCGTCGGCCATGGTGCCCCAAGACTGGACGCAACCCTCGCTCGGCATGCACCCTGGCGGACAACCCCAGCAACTACAACTCGAGAACGAGTACGAAGTAGATCCTGCTCAATTCCAGATGTTCCACGCAGGTCGTGACCCCCAGAGTAGTCGCCATGCAGGCTACACTAGCTACGGCCCCTCCTTTGGCAGCGGCCAGATGTCCTACGCCTCGCAAGAGCCATTGATGCAAGACGCGTTCTCGGGTAATTACGCGTATTCGAGTGTGCATTCATCTGCTTTCACGCATTGATTGTTATAGTTTACGTCTTTTCTGCAGGCCAGGGATTCAATGCAGCTTCATCGAGTTCCTTACAAGTATCCTCGGTCCCATCGGTGTTCCATGGGCACAGCAGTGCTCAGGTCGACCACTACTCCTTCGGAGTTCAGCCCACCTCTATGGCATCAAGCAGTCAACGCCCAAATTCCCGTGCCTCCTCAACCTACGGGGGGTTTCAGCAACCAATAGATGGCCCACAGCACATATATGCGCCGTCTGCTCCTCTGTCAGGCCCGCAGGGAGGCGCCGACTTCCATACGAACGCCGCCCTCGCCTACAGCAGAATGTCGTATGACATGCAGGGCGGCCGAGGCGTGGCCAAGCGCATGCGCACGATGGGAGATGGGCTTGATGTCGACGACGACGACGCTGATGGTCTGTGGGACGACGGCACGTCGCTTGAGCAGGAGCAGAAACCCAAGCCGTGAGTGCCGGACAAGTCTCCCTTTTCTCGGAGTCTGACTGCGATCACAGACTCGGCGCATGCGCGCGGTGTAAAGGCCTGAAGGTGTGTAATATCCTCGTAGTTCACGCCGAGACGCGCCTAACCTGGCTATATGCGTTCTCGCTGCCGCTATATGCGCCCTGTAACAGGTCAGATGCGTCTTCTCGCGCGACTCCGACGTCTGCGAGCGCTGCACGAAGGGCAACCACGACTGCATCATCCCCGGGCGCAAGAAACGCAGACCGCCCCCGTGAGGCCGCCTTTCCCTTCCTCTCTCCTGCGCGCAATGCTGACCCCTGCGTCGCGTCGCGTCCAGAAAGCGGGAGCACCTCATCAACCAGATTAAGGAACAGGCCGCGCAGATCTCGGACCTCATGAACAAGCTCGAGGAGGCGAACCGCATCGCGTCGCGCCGCATTTCCGTGTCCAAGTCCGCGGGCCAGCGGCCCATGCCCAACATCTGCGACGAGGGCGCCGCGGCGGTCCTCGCGGCGGAGGACCTGCACGGGTCCGTGCCCGTCCCGTGCCCGCCTGCGGAGGGCGACGTCGCGGACTGGGTCACGAACGCGCGCCGGTCTATAGTGGAGCTCGGCAAGTACGTGAGCATGGGCGGGGCGAGCGTCACTGTGGACATGCTCGGCGAGGAGGGGAGCGTGGACGACGCTAGCGACGATGAGTATGAGTACGAGTACGAGGCTACCGTGGAAGACGAGGATGCGCGCTCTTCTCATGGGGAGGGGCGCGTGGGGTCGGTGGGTGCGGAGTCGTATGAGCCGGGGCCGAGCGGCAGCGCGCTCTCGCCTGCTAGTACGGCTAGCACGACGGATGGCGCGCCCGGGAGGAAGGCGGGAGGCGGTGGCGCGAAGCTTGCCATTCTGCCCAACGAGGATGCCACTTTCGGGTTTATGGCCAATCTTGCGCTCAGCATGTCGCGAGGGGTCTCGCGGCGCGAGGCCGCACCTGGTGCTGAGCAGGAGGAGGAAGTAGGACTGGCCAACAACAATTATTTCCGACCGAGTAATTGTTCTTGTCGTCTGATCTCATTTGGGGGTTGCTGATCCGTACATTTGCAGGCCCCGCACCGCACACACCCCTCGTCGATGAGCAGTTACAGCCTGCCATCTTGCGCAATGGAATTATTCGACCGGATGAAGCTGAGAAGCTGTTCTCCACGTATGTTCCGTGACCTCTTAATCCCTTTGCCTTCTGACCACGATCGGCACAGCTACTTTGATTACATGAACGTCTCCGTCTCTCTGCTCGACCCGGTCATCTACACGGCGCAGAAGACGTATTGGCGCTCACCATTCCTATTCACTGTCAGTGAGTATTCCGTGCGTATGCGCGCGGAGAACGTCAGTTGACGTGCTCTATGTCGTACAGTATGCGCGATCGCTTCGAGGCACTATTGTCCGCGCCCGGAACTCTACCAGGAAGCCATGAAGTATGCCCGTTTGGCTGCGGGTACGGCGCTCATTGGAGGTCAGAAGTCGATTGAGGCTGTTCAGGCGTATCTCCTGCTCAGCTTGTACCCGGTCCCTGCACGGCGGTGGGAGGACGATAGGAGCTATCTCTATCTGGGGCTCGCCATTCGGTCAGTCGTAATTCCCTGGTACTGCGTGCTCAGCGTGTTGATGCGTAATTTCCCGTCTCGTAGCATGGCGACTGATCTTAAGCTGCGGTACCCGGTCACTACTACCAAAGGCGAGAACGAGCTACGGGCACGCGAGATGCTGAACCGTACAAGAACTTGGCTCAACTGCTACAACCTCGACCGTTCGACGGGGGTGCAATACGGAGAGGCTCCTGTGATCGATAACAACGACTACGTCGCGAAGCACACGGAGGACTGGTGGCAGAGCTCGCCGTACAACATGCAAGGCTTCGACGTTCACCTCTGCTGTTACAAGGCGGAGCTGGCCGTGTTGGGGGAGTTCCGGGCGCGCATATGGAGCGACCCGGAGCGCCCTTCAGGGATTAACAAGGTACGTTCCCTTCTCCGCCGCTTCTCCCGCAGAATGCAGCTCTGACGCCCCGCAGAACATCGATGTGGCTCAGATAGCGAGCGAGACTGACGACCGCCTCGCCGCCCTTGAAGAGAGCTGGAAACCGATTCTGTGCAACGCTAAGACCGACGACCCGCAGTGCCACTTCCGGATAGGGCTACTGAAGTTGGCGTACAGTTATGCACGGCTCTCGGTGTTGTCGGTCGGCTTCCAGCACTCCTTCGGCAAGGCGTCTCCCAGCAACGAGGTGCCCTTTCTCTGGCGCGTACGTAACTCGTCTTTCGTCACGGTGTTGACTCTGATTTGCAATCGTTTAGTGCTTGCGGGCGGCGAAGGACACGGTGCTGTCTGTCGTAGATGGCCTTGGCACCCCTAGTCAAAGTAGGTTCATAGTTGGAATGGACCTGTCAATGACTTAGCAGTGTCACACAGTGATTTACATTCGACACGGACCAGAAGCTCAAAGCGTTTTTGTTACCTTCGCGTCGGCGTTTCTCATCAAGGTACCAGATCTGTTCCTAGAAGCCCAACCCGCGACTGAATTGTCAATGCACAGCTCCTGCAACCGAAATACAGTGTATACCTTTCAAGGGAACAGCGGGTAGAAATCAAAGACCTGGTCCATCGTGTGATCGATCTCCTTGGGTCGCCTGAAGTGGCCATTGACGACCGGCATGGCCCCAAGCTGTATGCGCGTTTCTTGCAAGGGCTGCTTAACACGCCGATGGCCAGAATCGACCATTCGCCGTCTTCACTCAAGCGTGATAGTCGACGGTCAAAAACAACGTCGATAGCATCGTCACCTTCTCATGCCAGTACCTCTGCGCGACAATCACTGTCTCCTGCGCCTGACAGCACGAGCACCCAGTCTAGTCCCAAACCGCACACACCACCGCCTACATTGTCGCCTACGATATTCAGCTCAACCATCACTGCTACGTCCGCGTCTCAGATGTCACATCCAATGTCGTCTCAGTTAGCGGCGTCCAGTTTTTCTGCGCCCATGTCGCCGCCTCTGTTCTTTGATTCGGAGCTCATACAGTCCATGCAGTCTGTCGACGTGTTCCCAGATGTCGTTCTACCTGGTTAGTTGCTTGGTCAATAATAAAAGGCGCGATCGCTTCGAAGCTAATAACGTGTCCGCGTAGGCTTCAACTGGTTGGGATCCGACCCCATGTCGGCGTTTGCCCATTCCTATTGATACGAGGGCGACATCGCCGCAAGCATATTTGTATCTTTTTTTTCTTGGTATTAGGATGAGACGAACAGAGTCTTGCTTCTTGCACCCCCCCCCCCCTTCCCCGTCGGATATTGTAGCTGTGTCTTTAGGTAGCATTGCTTTCGTCTAGACTGGGTCAAGCAGGATCATCCTCAGTCGGCGGGGTGTATAGCGCTTCGCGATCACGTGCGAGCGCGTAAGTGGCGCCACGCAATCGCCGCGAGGCGCGCGGAGTCGTGCGTCGTGCGTCGTGCGTCGTCCTCCTCACTCTCTTTTACTCAAGGTCCGATCATAAGTCACCAAGGGACGGACACGTAGCGACAATTGAACGTTCATTCCTAAGCACCACTACAGCCACTCAGCTGTCTCTATCTCGCGGCTCTTACTGCCATTGCGTTGTACTAAGTACTCCGTCCTCCAAGTCGTTTTACACGTGCAAATACACGACCGATAACTCGTCGGGAGCAATCAGGTCAAAGCTACGTTACTTCACTGTGTTGATGTGCAAGTGGATACAGTACTGTGCGTCGAAGAGCTAGTTCAAGCTGCACGCTGCTCACTGAGTCGTCCTTAGCTTGTAGCCATTTATCAGGGGCATAACGAGGCTGGCTTGGACGCAGTCTTCACATTGCGCATACTTGAGGTGAGTTTTCGACGGACCTTTATGGATATTGCTGTGGGTTTCTGACAAATAATAGCCTGTCTACGAGGATCCAACATGGCTCCGCCCGAGCTACCCTTGGAGGCCCAAGAACATGTCCTGGACCACCTTCATGACGACCTGAAGACTTTGAAGTCTTGCAGTTTCGTCTGTCGCGCTTGGACTCGCACAACGAGATTACATCTTCTCGGGACCATCGTGCTGAACACAAGATGCAACGCCATCCGTTTCCTCTCTCTTCTAGAGGAATCTGACCGGATCGGAACTGGTGTTGCTTCCTGTGTGCGGGAGCTTGAGTTGCCTATACTGGGGTTTCCTCGCCGTGGGAAGCGTTCAGAGATGCGCTGCGAATTGTTGAGCAGCATCTCGCGCCGCCTTCCTGTGGTCGAGGTTCTCTGTGTTAGGCGCTTCAATATCACCGCCCTCATGGACTATTTACATTCCGATGACGAGGCCTTCAATATGCAAGACGCTTTATCCTCGATATTCGTCTTCCCCCATCTCAAAGCAATTCACTACCACGGGCTGGAGGTCATGGGTATCAACGAACTTTTGGAGTTCCTCGGGGCATTCCCAACAGTTTCCTCCCTGCATGCACATAACATTGACAGCCGTTGGGATGAGCCGTGGCCTCTCGAGACCACCGCTATCCAGAACTTCGTTGCAAAGCGTCAACAGGCACCTATCTCTATAGAAGACATCATGGGAGACCTCTTCTCACGGTCAGATGAGCTGCGCAAGCTACTAGCTGCGTTAGCGGTGCCCCCGTTTGAGCTACGGCTCAAGAGATTGGGATGGACAATAAACGGAACATCTGGGTGGCTTCCCTTACTGCCTATGCTGCTTCCGGTGTTCCGCAGGGCCAACGCAACATTGGAGTACCTCGAGCTCGCCTTTAATGCCAACGATGGTAAGTGTCAGTTCTGTGGCTCTCAGAAAGTCAGGTCTCTCACCGGACCGTGTGCTGCAGTGTGGCTGGAACGCCTCGATTTGTCCAATCATCGTCGTCTGAAGTCCGTATCGCTCACCTTCCGTTTCACCCCCGAAAAGCATCACCAATGGCCTCGCGTCCCAGTGTTTCTGTCGAGGATCACCTCTACCGACTTGCAAGTTGTGGATCTCCACTTTCATTCTTCCAAACAACCCTTCCTCTGGGAGTTCTTTGATTGGTCGGCTCTGAGTGATGCATTCATCGCTTTGCGTCGCAAATGCCCGAGGATGACGGTTACATTCTACTTCTATATAGATGCCGGACACGGCGTCGTCATTCCCGGTGCAATCGATCCTCTGAGGGTACGAATTGCTCCTGTTCTGGCCACAGGGATGCGTGTAGTCGTCGATCGGCGCATTGTCACCAAGCAAGTCGGACTTTTCGCGGATAGGTGGATACCTATACAGTCAGAGCGTGGTCTACTTGAAGCTTGACTGGCGACCAAGAGATGGACCGTCCTGTATCTAGACCCTAGCTTCAAACACATCTTGTCAACAATTTCTTGAACGAGGCATTTCAGTCCTCTTGCATAGTCTGTTATCGTTGTTATCGTCTCCGGCTCGACCACTTGTGTTACTGTGTACTTAGAATTATGTTGACGGATGATCCACGACAAGTAGTTTGGGACACTGTACTGTATATATACGCCTCCCCTCAGTCCCTTGTATGACCAAGCACTCGAGTGGTTTGTCCCGCTTACCCGTGCGCCTTCATGTTCTCCCGAGCCGCATGCACGTATCCTCGAGCATCAAGAGCCACACTCGTGGTGCAATATGCTACTATGAGATCTTTGGCAGTAGTGCATGAGGTTCCGACAGTCACTCACTGATCTTCGCCACGACCGTTGAGGACGTCTACTAGCACGCCCTTGCGCAGGTCTGAAGAACGGTTTGTGAGAGGAGTTTTTAGCACAAAACAGGGACACTATGGTCGCTGACTGGTTTAGTACTCGCTGCACTCGGAGCAGCTTGTCGATCGGACGGATCAACGGTAGTCTCCGCCTCTCTGAGTCAACGCCTGGGCATTATCGTAACATCGTCATC